TTAAATAGATTGCTTCGTAGGTGTAGCATTTTTTGTCTTACCTGATACAATTAAAAATGTGTTAGTTTTGGAACAAGGTGACCATCAATAATAGCATCTTCTGCATTTGAGTATATGCTCTGAACACCAATTATATATAACAAAACAAAAGTACAAAACTATATGCTTCTTGCAAGGCACATCAAACAAAAGGAATAAAATGACTAAGCGTGTGGTCTTCACTAACATATTTGAGAATCAAGCTACTCCTACATTCTTCTAAGACATGCCTTGTACCTATCTTTTATTATTGAGTGTGTACTTGGCGGTATTCAAGGCAAGTTGTTCCCCAACTAACATCGAATTTTTTAATTATTATTGAGCTGCATCACATTATTCCTCAAGTAACAATGGTGTCCTATGATAATATCAGGTGCCTACATGTCAGCCAACCCTATGCAGCATCGACGAACTATGCACATTGAGATTGCTGACATATTTACAAAGGGGCTCTCGGTCAAGTTCGTGTACTCCATGTTGTACTACATCTGAGTTTCCTGACATATTTACAAATGGGATCCGAACTACAGCTTTCACAGACTGTATTGTACTCAGCATTGCATCATAGCGCTCATCACTGTATTGTCTGTTATAGCGCGCTCCACCCCAGTTGTAGCTGCCGTTAGTCCTTGCACCACTTATATACCACAGCCTCACGAATGACTGAATCAAGCTTTCCAGTATTTAGTTCCTCTCTTTTTTGATGGAGCATTCAGTTCCTCTCATTTAACATGGACATCAAGATTCGTTCACTGCTCAGAGCGAGATCGGACAGGTGATTTGCAGGTTCACGAGTGTCTATCCCTTGTGGATTCAAGTCAATCAGCAGCAACAGCACACACACTGTTCGCATGTGAAGAACCGCATGCTTATGCACAGATCCAATTATGGAGACCCAATCATGAGCACCTGCTTGAGAAGAAGAGACATCAATCAGCTAGTACCCTCACGAAGCAGAAAATCGGGCTCCCAGAAACAAATAAGAAAAGAAAAAACGACTTCATTTACCATAAGTGAAACATAAGACATGAGTATGTGTACAGCCGTAGGGACCTCACATACTCACTGGCTTTTACAGTGTGATCATGTAGTTAACCTCCCTGCAAATCCATGAAATGGGAGCAAGAGGAAGACGACGGTAGCCTCAGTTACGTTGGGGAGCGAGGCTGCCAAGGTCACGGGCCATTCTTTATATGCAGTGATCCCCAACTAATTTATGTGTGTTGTCCCACCTGCCACATAACTTTTATATTTTTTTTCAAGAGGAGGTTAAACCCTCGGCCTCTGCATCATCTTGATGCACACAACCATTTATACATGACAAAACCACCAACTACATACTTGGCTATAAATTGCCACCTTCACTCTTTCATTTCCTCACCAAACACAATCAATCCTGCCTTGATTGCTTAGCTTTAGCTCCTCACACATCCCATAGCCATGGCCGCCACTGACCCTTCCTACTACCAGAGTGGTGTTTGCCAATCCATCACACAGAAGCAGCATCTCTTCCACTTATACATGAACCAGATTGCCGAAGGAACCCCAAATGCCAACCAAAAAGTCATTGTGAATCCAGGTCTTCCTCTGGATTTTGGTGTAACCGTTGCAAATGACTGGACCATAAGCGATGGTCCAGCCGCCAATGCAAACCCTATCGCACGTGCTCGTGGCATGCACATGGGTGATGGTAAAGCCGACGTAAACTGGTTATTCTGTCACGATATATTGTTTACTGATACCAGGTTGGTTTGCCACCCTTTTGAGATGTTAGGGTCTAAATTAGCTTATGTTGTATCTATATCTTTTTGTGCTAAATTTTGTGATTTCCACTTCACTTATTAGGTTTAAGGGGTCCAGCCTTAAGGTTCTTGGAGACTTTGTAGCCAACAAAGATAGTGAATGGGCAATTGTAGGTGGAACTCGAGAATTTGCATATGCACAAGGTGTTGTCGTCGCCAAAGTAATCCAAAATATACAACCTACTCCCCGGCGTACTTGGGAGCTTCGTATCAGTGCTTTCTGTCTGTGCATCCCCAAAGTGGTGAGATACATTTATCATTAATTGTTTTTCGATGTTAAGTACGCAAATATGGTATAAAAATAGCATCTCACTTGGTAACTTGGAATTACACAAATATTATTGTTTTTTATGATATTCTATGTCGCTTGATCACCTATGCCTAGACCCCAGTGAACAAGATGGGACCTTGGGGAGCAGACGGAGGGACAGCGTTTGACATCACAGAGCTGCCTCGTTCTCTTCAAACCGTGACAATTCGATGTGGAGACGTGATTAACTCAATTGGGTTTTCGTACACCGACCAAGCTGGTCAGAAGAAAATTGCTGGACCGTGGGGTGGTGATGGTGCACTTAGTGTGACGCTGAGTCATTCTTTTTAGATTATTTCAATGTAATTTCTTCAATGTTTTCTGCCAAATAACTTTAATCTCACACCCTGTACATGTACTGAGTTTAAATTAAAGTGCCATATGGTGACGCACTCTTCTCTTGCAGATCAAGCTTGCTCCTTCCGAGTTCATAAAGCAAGTTCTTGGAACAACTGATGCAGTTGGAGGAGTGACTGTTGTTACATCACTTACTTTGGTCAGCAGCGTCACGACATATGGGCCTTTTGGAAAAGCAAATGGCACTCCTTTTAGCAGCCAGGTTACAGATAGTAACACTATCGGGGGGTTCTATGCGCGTGCTGGGGCGTCTGTTAATTCACTTGGAGTCTATGCGTGCCCAATTTAGCACAGTGTATGTGCTATGTGGCATGAGAATCTTCATGGCTCTGGTCGACGACTCGCTTCTGTTTCCAGTATTCCAACAATGGAGAAGGATTGTCCTTGTCGTGATCTTGTGTACTATTTATTTTCCTTCTCATTATGTGTGTTTTCCTCTATTGTGTACATGTATTTCCTTGAAAAATAAATGATATTCTCTCCAAGAAATTGATGGTAATTCGATCCCTCTCTGTTATGCATATATTAAGTAAAGCTAGATGAACGATTTTTGAAAAATCATAGACGTAACTTCTACCATCAGAAAAAAATTGATAAGTTTAGGTCTCAAACAGGACAAAACACTGTAGCATGCATTAATGGTCAAACCCCAACATCAGGATGGATACAATTCGGGGAGGCGTCAGGAGCATGTCGAGTCATCCTTTGGCAAGAGGGATTGAACCTTTAACTTGCTGAGAAACTGTCGGCACACTACTGAAATTGCACCTACGCCGAGTGCTAGAAATACTCGGCAAAGGACCAAATATACCAAGGCGCCCTTTTACTTCTTTATAATTAAGTTACTTATTATTCTGGATGCACTTCAATGTTTGACGATGCAGTTATGGTAGACTAGATATTTACCTACATCTACATCTACACTACTATTAAAAGGGCAAATATATACTCCCCTAACCCGCATTTTTTTTTATAAATTCTTCTAAAGCCACACAGTAAACTGTACACGAGATAACTTGGTCCCTTTGATTAAATCAATTTAAACACATCCTACCGCCCATATTACGTCTCAGATCAAATGTTTGTGCCTGCAGACGCCGTGGACTGCCAGCTTTCGCGTAGTGTGATCGCTACGGGCAGGCCCGCAACACCCTGATTTGTGGATCGAGTAAAATGCACTAGTGGTCACTGAACTTGTGTCGATAGCTCACTTTTGACACTGTACTTAAGAATACGGTCTAAATACGAATTAGGAGAAATACAATATGGTCACTGGTCACAGCCTTTACAGCACAAGGACTCTTCTTCATCTCCGTTTCTGCATGGTTTCTTGGACGGCGTCATGTCTACAGAACACAGTCATGCGTTTGAAGAAAGACCAGAGCCACGGGAAGCTTCCGACCTGCACTTCGTCGGTCGATCAGCGTCAAATCACGTACATTGATATGGCCCAAGCGACGGCAGCCCCTGTCCTCATGGTCTCCGCGCCTCCGTCCCGCACTTCGTCCGGCCAGCGTCTTCAGAGGGGTCGCCTCGGATGATGTCTAACAGGCTGGCCGAGGAGAGGTTGGCTGCCGTCGCTCCGAGCTGTTTTGCGACACAGGCCCATCCCCGTTGCGCATTCTCAGCCTTCCACCAGGACTGCTACTCCACCTCGGCAGAGTCGACGGCACCCGGTGGATGCAGAGGGAGCGACGACAACGGAAGAGGATTCACTGTCAAAGGCAATGCATCAAATCTTTCTGTCTTTTTCGTCCCCGCAAATGTCTTCTAAATTGACTAGCATATGCATGGTCTTGGGTAACAACGAGAAAGAAGTTAATGTGTCGACTAAAGCTCTGAGACATATGGAGTATGGACGTCTAACGGTAACACCTAAAGTCTTGGGCAAATCGGACAACTCTCAACTGGAGGATGAGGATGTGGATGCCACTATTGATGGTCATCTTCTCTCTCGTATAGTTGGTGAGGTGTCGGAGGTAGTTTTAGATGTGGCTGGGCTAAGTTCCTTGTATGAACTCAAAGCATCTGGCCGTAAATCTAAATCTTCTCGCCTTGTAAAAAGGCGAAAGTGTCTAAATCTCCAAATGTTTCCCAATGCATGGCCTGATTTTGAATAGCAGAGGTCTTCCTGACTTGGCTAAACATTTACATATCGCTGGATGTTCTAGGGATCATAAGTTGGATTTTTTGGCCATTTCTGAGATGGGGAAACGGGATTTCTCAGTGAGTTTACTTAACCGCCTTTTTGGCCGCATAGATTTCTCGTGGGTGTCTCGTCTACCACGTGGCAGATCTGGGGGCATATTACTTGGCGTGAGAATGGAGACCATGGAAGTGTTGGCAAGTTCATATGGAGAGTATCATATTAAACTCCATATCCGCAACAAAGCTCATAACTTTACATGGACTCTTGTCGTCATGTATGGCGCAGCCCAGGAAGAATTTAAAGCTGATTTTCTTTGTGAATTGATTGATTTGGCAAAGGACAATCCATATCCTATTCTAATAGGAGGAGATTTTAATTTGCTAAGATTTCCTGACGAGAAAAGCAAAGGCAGGTTCGACGATCACTGGCCTTTCTTATTCAACGTTGTCATTGACGGACTCGATTTAAGAGAGGTTTCCATGGTAGGAAGATAGTTCGCTTGAGCGAACATTCTTCAAGAATTGACATACGAGAAACTAGATCGGGAGCTTATTGATACTGAATGGGAATCAAAGTTCCCTATGGTAACAGTGTGGGCGCTAGAATATATCGAGGCTTTGTTGGATCATGCCCCAATCCTTATAACCACTGGTTTGCCTAGACCTAATTGTAAATGCCAATTGAAGTTTGAACTTGGATGGTTACATCGGGATGGTATCCATGATATGCTGAAAAAGGTGTGGAAAGATCTGTCTCGGGTCAGACCCCAATCCAAAGATGGAATAACAAAATGCGTGCATACGCAGATTCGTAGGAGGATGGGCTAGACATAGGTCTGGTATCTTGAAAAAGAAAAAGCTTCGGTTGTCATCTACTGTTGATGAATTAGAGGCCCTTGTAGAGGTACGACCATTATCCGTGCAAGAAATTGAGCTAAAAAGCCAATCAAGTGCACAGATTGCAAAGTTATTACGAGAAGAGGAGTTCAAATGGTACCAACGATCAAACGCTCAATTTATCGTGGAAGGAGATTCAAACACAAGTTACTTTCAGGGTGTCGCTAACGGAAGATATCGGAAGAAACTTATTCATTCTCTTGTACAGCATGAGGGTACGATCGAGGACCATGAGCAAATAAAATTGTACATTACCAATTACTATAAAGTTTTTTTTGGTGCACCAGAAGAAGGCAACTTCTCTCTGGATGAGTCCCGAATAGAGGATATACCCCAGGTTTCTGTTGAGGAAAACAATCTTCTTACAACTCCCTATATCGAGGAGGAAATAAAGAAGGCGGTTTTCCAAATGGAACACAACAAAGCCCCAGGGCTGGATGGCTTTTCAGCTGAGTTCTACCAGCACTTTTGGGATGTCATCAAGTTGGACCCGCTAGAACTATTTGGCTACTTTCATGCCCGACAGTTAGATCTGTTCCATCTAAATTTTGGTGAGATAACTTTACTACCTAAGGTTAATGAGGCAGAAAGGATACAACAATATAGACCTTTTTGCCTGCTGAAGGTTAGGTTTAAATTTTCATGAAAACCGCTACTCTTAGGCTGAATTCGATGGCCGATCATGTGGTTTACCCTTCACAAACTGCTTTTAGCAAGCAAGAAACATCATAGCTGGAGTTGTAATCCTTCAAGAAACAGTTCATGAACTACGCAGGGAAAAATTGAATGGGGTTATTTTCAAAATTGACTTTGAAAATGCTTATGACAAAGTCAAGTGGTCTTGTCTCTAGAAGACTCTCATAACGAAAGATTTTGTGCAGAGTGGTGGGCTCTCATCCAATGTTTCGTCTCTGGAGGTAGCGTGGCCATCAAAGTGAATGGTGATGTTGGCAGATACTTCCAAACCAAAAAAGGGTTGAGACAAGGCGACTCAATATTGCCAATACTATTTAACATAGTGGCCAGTATGTTAGCTATCATAATTGAGCACACAAAAAATGAGGGTCAAATTGACGGGATAGTTCCTCATCTAGTTGCTGATGGACTTTCTATCCTTCAATATGCCTACGATAGAATTCTCTTGACGGTACATGACATCGAAAAAGCAAGAAATCTGAAATTAATTCTGTCAGCCTTCGAGCAAATGTCGGGTCTTAAGATAAATTATCGG